GAATTGTTTCTAACCCAAAGCAACTTATTAAAGCATTTTTCTAAAGCATGTTGAGTGCTAGCTTTAAGTTTTAGGACTTTTAGTGAAAGTAATTCTCCCCTCAAAAGAGAGAAAAGTATTTCTCCAAACATGAATTTTGTTTTTGGCTTTCTCTACAACATAATCCATTTGGGATTGCCTCCTTCTACCTCTTAATAGATCAACTCCAAGACATTTGAGTAGGAGGCCAGAGATTGTAAACCCAGTGTAGCTAGCTATCCAATTAGCCAACTCATGTTTCACATGCTTTCCAACTATAATGCAAAACTTCTTTTTATTGAATTTTTATTGAACTTTTCAAGAGTAGAATATAAAAGACACACAGCCTTCTTACTTGCATTAGAGAATACTATTGCATCATCAACATAAGCAAAATGACTCACCACCATCTTTGCTTTGTGAGAAAAGAATATTTTTGGAAACAGAGTTTGCATCCTATTCAATTACGAAGGGAAGTAATCAAAAGCCAAAATAAAAATGGTAGGGGAGAGAGGGTCCCCTTGCTTTATACCCCTTTTTACAGAAAATAAACCAAATGAAGACCCATTAATAAGGATATTATAGGCATTGTAGTCTAACCATCTCCTTATAAGTACACAAATGTTATTATTGAAACTTTTAACTTTTAGAATGTTAATTATAAAATCCATTCTAATACTATCGTATGCCTTTTGGATGTCAAGTTGGACAACCATATTTCCTCCCCTACATTTTTCGTCAAAATCTTCAATCAATTCCTGAGCTAATAAAATATTATCAGAGATCTCTCTACCTTTAATAAAAGCTGATTGTTGTGGTGAGATAATAAAAGTAAGGTATGGTTGTAGCCTCTTCACAAGTATTTTACTTACGATTTTAGAAATTACTGAAGTCAAACAAATGGGTTGAAATTGATTCCAAGTTGCTTTTTCCTTGTTTTTAGAATGAGCACTATAGAAGAAGAGAGGAAATAAGTACTCAAGTTCTCCTCTAAGAAGAAAATTTGGATTGCATTATGACCTCCACCTTAATGATATCTTAGCATTTAATATGGAAATCAGAAGCAAACCCATCATGACCAACTGCCTTGTTGCAATTCAACTCATTAAGGCAGAAAAAATCACCCTCCCAGTAGGAACAAAGCTTAAGTCCAAATCTCTAGTATATACTCTATCATCATAGAGTAGATTTGCCTCCACCTCATCCATCTTCATATCAGAACCAAATAGATTAGAAAAATAAGCCACAACATTGTCACCCATTTTATGCAAATCAATAATCCACTCTCCCATATCATTTTTTATTCTGATAATGGTGTTAAGATTACTCCCTTGTTTTATAGTGGCTTGAAAATATTTGGTATTTATGTGCGCTTCAAGAAAATAAGTTTTACAAGCTTTTTTCCTGAGTAGAACCTCTTCTTGTTTGATTGCAAACAACAGGTTTTTATGAGCTAATGTAAGCTCCTCAACAATAGAATCAAAGCAAACATCTAAACTTTCTAATTTAGCTTCTAATCTATTCAACCTCAATGACCATTTTATGTACATCCCCAAAAATATATGAATTCCAATTTCTTAAGGTGGAAGCCACCCTTCTATGGAGTTTCCACAGAATAAACCATGCATTGCCCACTAAGGAGTAAGATTCCAAACACTTTCAATAAGATTGTGAAAAGTTGGATGAGAGGACCAAATATTCAAGTATCTTAAGTGATATAAAGTTAGTTTCGAGAAGAAAGCTGATGATAAAAGCAAAGGTTTATGATCAGAACCAACACCATTTAAATGAGGTGAATTGTGGCAAGGTGTTGGTGCCCATAGTTATTCTTGAGTTGTATTACCCGTGATTAAAATTCTAATTAAATTCTCCTTCTAGCATTGTATATATGCTATTACATTTTGTATTTATAATATATATGGTATAATAGAATTAGAAATGGTGAAAAATATTGCTGCAACTAAATTTTGATCTACGATTTGCCAAGGTTCATGGTCTGGGTTCTTTTCTCGTATTCCAGACTCATCCAGTCCAATTCTAGGTGGCAAATGATGGTGCATTCTATGATAGACTCAAAACCATTAACAATGAAAAGTTTGAGAATATGAGCTTTCAAAACTGGATAATTGTCATGTGGGAGGGGAGAGGTTGAGTGTTTTGATGTGGACATCAAGAACTTGAGTGGGGTTGGTATTGATTTCCTTCATTTTATTGAGGGATGATGTGGATTGCTGGTTGATTCTTCATTGGGATGGGAAGGTGGAGCATATGGGAACTTGATTGAGTGCTATTAAGTTGTTGTTCTGATAGCATGTAAGAGGCTAGGGGGAGATGAAACACTGAAGAAAAAGCCCGAAGAAAGTTAAATATTCAATCTACCAATATGTATTTGTATTTACATCTCCACCATTTACTTATGCTATGTGTATTCTTATATAGATACTGTGTGGGGCAAGCCTGGTATTTTTAAACTACCAAATGAGTGAATATATTTACTAGTTTGTCATGAGTTTGGTTGCCCTAATCTTGTTGGTTTTGAGCAAAGCCACTGCTCCATGTGCTTAAAGTTTGGCATGCTCATTTACATATGAGAGAGGAAATTTTCCATCATTTTAGATTTTGGGCTCATGAAATTATCTAAAAAAAACTCAAAATATTTACTCCATAAAATGGAAAGAAGGAGAAGATATTTGAATTTTATAATATTATATAGTGATTATTTATAAGATAATAATATATACAAATATATACTTAATTCATATAACATTAAGATAATAATATTCCTCAACATCTTGACGCATGTCATACAATTTAATTTTAATGCAAATAAGCTCATTTGATTTGTTCCCGACAATCTAGTGCTCGCGTTGTCCATTTGCAAAACAAGATATTAATAAAAAAATTACATAGTTTAAATCTTCATAAAAAATAAAGATCGATTTCACAAATTTGTTGTAAAGTATTGATGATCTAAACATCACATTTGTTGCTTGCATAATCATTCATGATAACTAAGGTGAGGCAACACATAAAATTTAAATCTTAGATAATCATATTTTAATACAAAGTTTTTTTGCCTGATACACATTTTTTTGCTTAATATCACGATCAAGTGGTTTGGGATTGTTGAGCTATGTCTGCATATATATTGCTCCAAAAATAATTCCAACAGAACCCATATCATAGTCACACTTCAATAATAACCCTCAAAATTTATGTTAGATTCATTAGAAACCAAATTCTTGATTAACAAACTCATTTACGTTCAGTGCATCCCACATGCACACTAAAGAGTTTGCATAGTCAAATTTTATTGACCAAGCCATCTCGACTCAAGAAAATGTCAAAGAGAATGCTTAGGCTCATCAAAATGAATCCTAAAAAATTAAGCCTAATTGAACTTCACTGGGTCTAAGAATTCTTTGGGTTCTCTCTAAGTTGCAATTGGAATCCAATAACTTGTCTTTGATTTTCTTTCATAGTTTTCATAATGCCCTTACTAGTGATATTATATCTTTATTTGACATGCTATAGATTAGTTTAAATTCTTTTGAATGCAAAGATTAGATTTCTCATAAAGTTGTCCTTCCACTAAAATCCAAAGAAAGTCACCTAGAGGTCTTTTCTAATGAGTCTTATAATATGGATAACTCCTAAAATCTAAGGGGAACATGTTTGTCAACCTCATCAAAATCTATCTCACATGGATATTTGTGATTTTTTATAAACAATATTTAAAATTGAGTGGGGCAAAAAATTAAAATAGAATAGTTAAAAAATAATAATACCTTTAATAATTAACACTATCCAATATAAAATTTTAAAAAATTACAAGTGCATAATTTATTAAATTTAATAATTTTATTTCTTTCTTCCATGTTAATCCATTTTGATTGGAAAATTATTACTTTACCAATAATGATCAAAACTATGAAAAGGTTGTGCCATCATATCATCCAAATTAATTAGTATTCATATTCCAAGGCCTGGCTGCACTCAAGAAAGCGAGCACCAACTAATCCCATGCAGTGGCCAGAGTTGGTCTTTATAGATAATATTTTCTATTTGTATTTTTTTTTATATTTTAATTAAATAATACTTGAGATGCTCTTCATTTATTATTATTTCAAAATTAAATCAGATCAAAATCAAATCCAATAAACTAAACTATAATTCAGTTTTCATTGATTAGATTCCATCTACTACTTGAATGCAGCTCTATTCAGCACTTGTTGAATGGTTGGTTGAACGCATGCTCAAGCTTGTTTGGCTTGAACTTTAATGAGCTCATCTTAGCTTACTTTAAGGTTGAATTAAGCTCAGTTTATAACAAAATAATTAAAAATATCAAGATATATTCTAATGCTATAAGTTTAACCATACATACGTGAACAGACCACACAATTCTTATGTATGTACGTATCTAAATCTTTTGATTTTCATATTTATAACACGCAACCTTTGATATCACATAAAAGTACCACTATTACTAACCTATAAAAAAGTGAATGCTCCTTTTCAATCATTATCAAAGTGCTATAAACAAAAAACAATAATGTTTAGTCATTACATAAAAAAAATATGTATAATTGCATTATATATCTCCTCCCCTCCCTCCCTCCCTCTCACAATGTTTTATTGCGTCAAGACACCAGACGCAAATTCGCGTCTGGTGTCCAATTAATACCACTGAAATACACATTTTTTTTAGTGAAACCCACTCTTTAATCTGAGTGATTTTAATTGGACACCAGACACAAAAAATTATCTTGACACAATAACAAATCCTCTCTCACGCGCAAGTGCACAAATGAACAAACCAAATTCAATAAAAGAAAGAAAGCAATCTTTTTGAACTACTAAAAATACAACTTAATAATAATAAATTAAAAAATTTCTATATGATGATGATGAACGTAAAATCTTCGAGTTTGAAGAACATCAAAATCAATAGCAATGGAAGAAAATATTTTTTTGTGGGATTTACATAAACAACTTAGAACACAATAAGAGTTAGAAAATTTACACTTATAAGCTTTTTTATTTGCATATAAGACACAAACCATAAATAAAAACAAAATAACACCAACTGAAACCATTTTAGTCCCCGGAACACTTGATCCCAATCATCATTAACCTGAATCTCTTCTAACGAATATTTGATGAGAACCTCAAGTATTCTTTTGGTTGGCAATTCCAGCAAAATAGCAAGCTTAGTATTAACATAATCATCAAAACAAAATTCTATGAATCATTACATATTAAGTAGCACCTCACAGCAACTTATTCTGAGAACACATCAAACATTTCTACATCTCAATAAAACCGAACTAATAGATAAAACCGCTTCCAAATCAAAACCAGGCTTTTTAATCCGAGGAACGAGCCTTTGAACAAAAGTTGTCATTTATCTGGACCTTGATTGCAGTACCATTTCTGAGAAAGTTGCGGTACCAATGGGCAGAAAGCCTTGGCGTCCTCTCATGTTCACTGTCCTCAAAATTCACATGGTAGAAGCCAAATCTTGATGCATACCCAGCAAGCAACTCATATCCATCGATAAATGTCCAAACAAAGTATCCTCTCACATCTATTCCATCCCTGTTAGCAATGCAGATAAAATAAACTCATAAAGGAGCATAAATGAATGATGCACTATAAATGCAATTTTTCACATGCACAATGTTGCATTCGTAATGATTTTCCAAAAAGATTTTGCACAAGATAATGTTTACTCATAAAATGCTCGATGTTATCGAAGAGAAAATGAGAATTCAACAAGTTGAGCCGAAGCAGTAGGGAAAATGCCAACAATGATGATGATGATGACAATATGCTACATTATATATATATATATATGTTAGATTCATTAGAA